CTGGATTTGCAGCACCAGGAAGCATAAGAGGATGCGAAACAGGAATGCTGACATTCACTTTCACACCCGGTGGAAGACCTGCCCTCTGCTCCGGCTTCTGCGACATCACCAAGTCTGGACGCCATCTAAACCAACCCTGTTGACATCTCGCAGAAGTCACCCCCCTACGCTGCAACATCTTGGGGGGGGGTTAGGATCTGAGGATCTTTCTGACACAAAAATGCCCCTTGAGCTGACATCCTGTAAGGTCTAGCAAACACTGGTGCGTGGTTTCAGTATTTAGGTTGGAAGGACCGAGGCTCTGAGCACGTGTCTGTTGGAGGACAGGTACCCTCCTCCTCTGCACGTCTCTGCTCCCCACCACCCGCTGCCAGCGCCTTCAACCTCTCCATCCCTCTCCGCCCCCTGCCCCAGACCCGGGGGATCTGAGAGGGAGAAGCTAGACTCCAGACTTAACTGTCTGTAAGAACACATGACAGCGGCTAAAGCGAATTGTTTGCTTGCTTTCTCAGAGTTCAAAGAGGCCGTTTTTGTCATCTTCGCCGTGCGCTCTGTATTTTCCAAAGAACAGTCAGCCTTCAACAACACCCTCTTTCTTCCCACTGGAAACAAACACGTCCTCGGCAGGAATTTTCCACTTAGCAGCTTGCTCCCCTGGCTGGGGCCTCCGCACACCAGCCTGCAATGTTGTATTTCTTTCCGCAGTAGTTTGACGTTTTTTTGAGCCAGCACAATGAGCTGTATTCAGTCATTTTAAGCCACCCTCTCCCCGCAAGTTCTCTTTTAAAATAATGCATATTTTCCAGAAATTTCAGGAAGAGACCTAAAGCTTTTAAGCTATGTTATATTTAGTTACGTCACAGTCATAGAATCATAGAATCATCAGGATTCTGGTAGTTACCCCTTCCCTTCCCTCCCCTCCTCATTCTCCACCATGATTTTCCCATTTCCCAGACCCCTTCCCTGTCCTGGTAAACACATTAAGAACAAACCTCACCTCAGGGTCCATATACTTTCATCCCAATTGTTTGCCTTTGCAAATTATTTCCTTTGAACAATATTTACAAACTATACATCATGGCCTGACACGATGTAAGACATAGATTGCTTATGATCACCGCCATAAACCAGGAACGGAGCTTGCAAACTGCCCTGTCTGAAAGCAGCTGTGTCTGTAAACATCTGCGACACAGACAGAGCTGACCGCCACTCCACCTCCCAAAATCTGACTGCAGAGCTGAGAACATAAACACCAGCCCAGGAAATCTTGGGCAATCCCAAGACCCTAGCAGAGAAAGGGGAAAGGAGAGATTTTAGGGAAGATTAGCTGAAGGCTGTATCAGCGGGAAGATGATGCTGGACCAGAAACAGCAGAACCCGCCTCCACAGATTCCTGCAGATTCCTGCAGTGCACAGCTTCACAGAGCCCGACAGGAGAAGGGAGGGGGCGCAGGGAGGAGCCTCCCCCGCCTGACCGGGTGGTAGCTTCTCAGACAGGTTGGCCCAGGGGGTCATAGGAACGCTGTGGAGGGTGTCTCCAAAGGAACTGGGATTCTGTAGAGCAGGAGGAGGGAGGAAGAGGGGGATTTGTTCAGACTGGGAGGGTGGGCCCCAGGGGGGAAAAGCAGCCAAAGAAGAAATAGATGGCAGCTTGCGGGACACCTAGGGTATTTCTTTCAGGGGGTATTACTTCCACTTTTAGGCAGGAACAAGAGGGGGGAGGCAAACAGCAGCATGGGCTGACAGCTCGGAGGTGATCAAAGGAGACAGCTATTTATTACAAAGAGAGGGGCGCTCCAGGCCATGCTGGCAGGGAGAGGGATTAAGATCAAATAGAGAGAGACTGGCCTGGGCCTGACTCCTTTATGTAGGAGAGAGAAATGGGAATGTATATTTTAATATATGGATATTTACATGTACTTACATTCAAGAGAAGAATGCTATTCACTACAGACACTACACACACACACACACACACACACACACACACACACAAACACATATACACACACACACACACCACCACCACCACCACTGCCACCACCACCTGTGTGCTATCCTCACTCAAGTAAAAGTAAAGAAAATAAATTAGAAAAAGCACCCTTCCTATCCCAATGTTACCAGTAACCCAAATCCGATGATGCTGGACATCTTGAGGCCTTGAACTACAGCATTATCCCAGGATGGATGGTCCAGGAAAGGAATATTTTTATGCAGACATTCTCAGAAGGGGAGTCTAGCTAACTTTTGTGAGTGTGATTAATCTCAAGAATCAAGTTTAAGCACTTAAACGTCAGGTATTTGGGAAGCAATTGGTTCTCTCTGGACAGCAGGGCAAGGTGTGAAAATTCTCTTCACTAGAACATCAGATGCCTGTTCTGGGGTCAGTGTGGGTATCCTGTGTAATGGGCAGAGTGCCTTGCAAGCACAGACACTGCTATGGGTCATACAACAAAGGCCTGGGAAAAGCAGACCAGAGCTTTATCAGCCTCTTTGAGTTAAAGTTCTGCAAGAATAAAACAATTCAACAGCAACAAGCAAATTAGTTTCTGCCCTAATTTGGTTTGAAATAAACAATGACACTCTCCCACAGGCTTCTACTTACTCCAAATATTTTCTTCCCCAGAATTAGTCACTGTCTTGCTACATATTTCTAGGTCTTATAAAACACCTTTGCGTTCATATATGCTTACCTGCAGCCACATAATATTGAAAATGCATAAATCCAGCTATATCATATATATCATTCTGTGAATTGATTTTGTACATTTATGAGAAAAAACTTTTTATATCAGGACTTATAATGCTGCCTAATTCTTTTAACTGCTGACTAACATCTTGTGATTTATTATAACATTGTTGATACACATTTAGGTTAGTTCTAGTTTTTGTTAATAAAATAATATTGAAACAATCATTTCAGATATGCATTTTTATCATGCATGTTGGTACTTTGTTTAGGCTGGATGCATTGCAATTGACAAGCTAAAAGAATATATATTTTAAATTTATAGATAGCACCAAATTACTCAAAAAGGACAAAGGCAATTTGTATTAACAGAAGTTGCATATGACTAGACCACTTCAATCACATTCTCAAATGTTATCATGAGTTTAAAATGCACTGCCATTTGTCTGAAAAAACTCATGTTCCTTCCAAATTTTCCCTTTCTGACTACCACTGAGTTAAACAAATCTTATATTGGTTGTTATTTTATTCTGTGAATTACCTGTTCACACATTTGCCCCACTCCTTTTTCAAATCTTTGTTGTTTCTTTGTGATTCTCTTTCTTTTCTACGGTATGTCTGTTCCTTCCAGCCTGGTGTTCACATTTTAACTTTGATAATGGAGAATTCATCCTATAAGGGCATTTGAATTTTTAAAAGAAAATTTTAGTACATTTATTTATTTTGTGTGCATGTGTCTGAGGAGTAGTGAACACGGGCAGGAGGTCAGAGGACAGCCTGTAGGAGTCAGCTCTTACCTCCCACCATGTAGGTCCCAGGGATTAAACTAAAATTCTTGGGTTTTGTGACAAGGGCCATTACCTGCTGAGTCATCTCACTAGCAGGGCATATTAATTTTTATGTAGTCCAATCTGTTAGCAATTTTTTCACTGGACTTAACTTGTGTCCTTATTAAAATTTACTAAAGAATATTAATGTTTTGTATCTAAAATGAATCATATGTATTCCAGGTGAGATATGATCTTATTCCTAGATACAGAGCTCTCTACAGGGAGACCTCTATAAGACTTGACATCTATCAACTCTCTAAAGTACTGACCCTCTTAAACTATTTCTAGTTCTTTCGGATTATTCTATATTAAAATAAGTTTAGCTTTGATCTTCTCTATATCTTATATTATATTGATAAACTTCCTGTAGATGTTCCCACCACATGTTTGTGTGTGGATTGAACAAAAGGCAACAGAAAAACATCAGAAAATAGCTAGTTAAATAAAAGCCATAGTACATCGGGAGGCTTTGGAAAGTTAAGGTACACTAGTATTCATGATGAGGCACTCATAAAGTATTCATGATAAACCATTTACAAAGATTACTAATAGGGGTAGAGAGATGGCTCAGTGGTTGAGAGCACTGGCTGCTCTTGCAGAGATCCCAGGTTCAAGTCCCAGCACCCACAAGGTGACTAACAACCATTTATAACTCCAGTTCCAGGAGATCTGATACTCTCTTCTTACCTCCACAGGCACTGCAAGACATGGGTGTATCCTACCTACATGCAGTCAATAAACTCAGGCATGTAAAATATAAATAATAAAATTTCATGTCTATGAAAGTAGATGCCAAGGATCTTTTGTTAAAATAGGTCTGTGTAACAACATGGTTTCTATAGCAAGGATCATCTCAGGAAATACTAGCAAGAGAATTTATTTTATTATTACTATTTTTGTGTGTGTGGTGCATGCACATACCTTTAATCCCAGCAGAGGTAGGTAGATCTCTGTTAATTCAACCTCAGCCTGGTCTACATAATGAGTTCCAGGTCAGTTGTTTAGAGAGGTTTTTTTTTTTTTTTTTTTTAAACATGTCTAGCATCATGGATTTGGAGCTCTAAGCTTTGTATTCAGGACTGTGGCTTATGGAATGGACTGGGAAACAGCTCCAATCCTTTACCCAAAGAATGTCGTATGCTTTGATCTCTCTCTGCTGTGGGCACTTTTCCCTTCTCACTGAATGAATGCTTCTCATGGCTTTTACTTCCAAAGCATTTTAAATTCATACTGTCCTATTATGCTACCTGCCATTTCCCTGTTTCGTGTCTCCACAGTCTTTTCATGAATAATGGATTCCTAACTTATTTTCTTAATCTTTGTGCGCCCCCAAACTAATATACCCACTCACTCCAGTCATCAGGTTTTGTTACCCCACTAGTGCCTGCAAACTCATATCCAAGTGACACTCTTCGCTGTGTGCTGTGCACTGTGTGACTTTACAACTGAACTCAGGTCCTTTCTAAGAGCAGAATGCTCTCTTACACCTGGCAGGGGAGTTATCATGATTAGAAAGATGGTTTTCTACAGCAAGGCTCATCCATTGTACTTGGAATGTGCTGATTGATGTGATTTCCCAAAATGTGGGAAGCCTGACTACATAATTTGTGGTAGTGGGTGACTGTGTTCATGCTCTCCCCTATTACTAAAAAAATCAATTGAGTCAAGTCTAGTGCATTTTCTTTTCTGAATCTTTCTCCCCTAGTTTTCGTCCTATCATACCACTTCTCTTTCCTGGCCAATGCATAACTTGGAGTAAATTTTTATTCTCTTTTAAAAAAGTTATTTTATTATTTTATTTTATTCATGTGTTTGACTGTCTTGCTTGCATGTACGTAAGTGCAGCACATGTATGCAATACCCACAAAGGCCAGAAGCCGGTGTTGGATCCCTGAACCTGGAGTTAGAGATCATCGTTAACTGCCATGTGGGTTCTGGGAATCAAACCAGGCCCTCTGCAAGAGCAGTCAGTGCTCTTAACTGTTGAACCACCTCTCCAGTTCCCATTCTCTTAGCATTACCAACACCTCCATTATTTCCCCCACATCATTGCATCTTACATTAGACTGTAAATTTCCTGGGAATAAGACCATTTCTTATTGAACTTTTAGGTCTTAATAGCTAAGGGAGTATTTTGTACTCAGGGAATACTTCAAACATCTCTGATGACGTAAAATTGACAACTTGGATTGTAAAAGAGATTATGCTTCATGAGCCTTAGAAATCTCTGGTCCACCAAGTTGAACTTTGGTAGTCTCCTTACTTTAGTCTGCCTTTGATACCCTATTTGGGATGAGTAGACATTTGCTAATATCTCTCCAGAATTAGCGTTACCCAATAATATGTTATGTATAAATCCTTTGAATCTGGAGATTTGACAGCATACTTGGGTAGGTAAATCTTAGCAAAGTTAGACTGCTCCAAGTAATTCATCCATCTTTAGGTACTGAGCCTTACAAGCACACATGGCAAAAACCTCAGGGCTTCTTGAATGACACAGACCAACTGAGCTGCTCCTTCAATTAAGGCTTTTCTACAAGGTTTGCTTAGTCAGTGATTTAAAACAGCTCACAAAACACAACCAACATTGAAAACTGTCTATATCATTCTTGTGGAACTGTACTTGCCTGTTCTATATTTCTCATATACCCTAGGAATCAGATGTTGCAATGTCTCGTTGTTCCTTAGTCTGTCTTCCTATTTGGAAAGATGGCATTAAAATATCAGTGATGGTATTGAATTAATTCACGTGCAGTAATTTCTCTAATGTTAAAGACATCCAAACTTATATTATTGACATGGAGAAATTCTCTCTAGACTTTGCCCAAGTCAAGTTATAGGGAAGAAGTGGAAACTGTTTTCAAGGGCATGGTACAGATGTGGTAAGACACCAACCTGAGATTCTCAAAACTTAAAAGCCTGCTAAGGACATGGCTAGCTGTGTAAAAGTTCAAGCACAGCCTTCTTAGACATCCCTGATCCATCTAATGTGCCTTTTAAACCGTTTAGGCTCATATTTTCTGGTACAGTGACTGCTACTCCTCTTGTAAATGCTACTGCTAATTGAAACCACATCATGGTACAGATCAAAATAAGCCAGGCAGGCATCCCTGCTGCAAATGTACCCAGCAGGATGGCCCCTTTGTTCCTCTTAAAATGAACTAGTTCAAAAAAGGCCTTGCCTCCAGATCATTATTCATTAATGCATGCAACATCCTTCCTCTTTCTCTCTTCACCCTTCACCATAATTTGCTTGTGGAGAAATAAAAGAGCTCCAATTCTCCTGTAAACTGCATAATTGGGTTTAATATGCAGACATGCCATTTCGAGGCATGTATGTTTTCTGCAGTAATAGGAGCTGTACTCTGAACGTTTGCAGAGCACCTGTGGATAGGCTTGTTAATTAACGGAGTTAGAGCCCTATTTCATTCCATTTAAACTAGAGTAATTGAAATCAAGATAGTTACCACCACAGTAGCCAGAACTGTTGGCCCTTTTCTAGGTTATGTTAGTTAGTTTTGTTCTTGGCTGAAGATGCTAACCAATGCTGGGACTTTCCCCCACACTTCTTGGTTTCTCTCAACCCTGTGTCCTGTGCTACATCTTTTTTCATTATTACATTTGTTCTAAATGCTAAAAGTAGTTGGAGTGACCCTATTAATCTTTCAAAGGGAACTTAGTCTACTAGCACTCCGGAAAAAAAGTCAGAAAATTTAGCTAAATTCAGTCCCCAACCAGATCCTACGATACCTTCCACTATCAAATCACTTTTTCGTGGACGTGTTTGTGGTTTATGTAAAGCGGTTACTCCATATTTAGTTGCAATACAGAGGGGTCGGTCTTCCCCTATCCTTTGTAAACTTACAAGTGACTCTAAGCACTCTGAGTTTTATCAGATGGAAGAAACTAAGCTATTTCAGTCCATAGTCAAAACAAGTAAAATAAAATAGAAAAGGAAGAAGAAGGAAAGAAATGAAAAGGAAACAAAGAACACATGCAGTTGCTTTTAGAAGATAACTAAATTTTTTATTATCTCCTAGACCTTCAGTTCCCACCGTGAAAGGCAAATCCCATGGCTGTCTTGCATAATTCTAGAATTAGAATGTGAACTCCATTAACACAATAATGATATATGCTATATCCAGCTTATATAATATTGATCCTACTCTACTGATTTAAAATATAATAACATTTTCAGTTATCCACTGTGCCATTGTGGAATGGTCCAGTGATCTTTTTCCTGGATAAGGTTTTGAGCGATTAAGTGCACTTATGAGGCTGGAGCACAGCCTTAGGGCACACATTTCCTGTCTTTCCCTTTGTTCTAGGTACACGTTCCACAACTAATATTCACCAATTTTTCTATTCATATATAATTTTTCATGCATAGACAAAATTCTAAACATGAGTTTCACCAGAAATATTTATTTATTGAACACTTTTTCCACCTGTTGTATTCAGTGTCTTACATACACCCTGTATTTCTGGGTGTTTTAATGGAATATGAAGATGGTGTTTATTTAGCTCTTTGTGATGGAAATGTGGATGTGTTCATGTTTCCATTCAGACAAGTTGGGATTCTCCTTTTATGAGGAAAAACATTTGAGTGAATAGAAATTTTATCCTCAGATGTTCACATATCTTGGACAATGGTATTTGCAGTAAATGATGAAATTTATATGCATACTGGGGTATTTTTCAATGAATTAGTCAATCTTATTTTTTACTTGCATTTTTCTATCTGTGCTTGTGGAAATTTTCCTTTGGGAAATTTCTTAAAATCCTTGCTTGTTAATGGAAATTGTCTTTCTCAAAAGGTGAAGACACTTCTAGTCTATGAAGGAATTACAATCAACTTTTCAGAGACATGATGAGGTAGTCCCATATTAGTGATAACATAAATCCCTTGTACTTGTCACTATACATAAACTAACAGTCATAAATAAAACATTCCTAGAGTGTTCCATGCTATTCTAACAAGTAGCAACTGCCCACTTCAGCAATTCTCTTTTATATTGCCTTGAAAATTTACCCCAAAACATTTCAGTTCCTAGTCTACCCTGATTTGGTAATATGCAATTAGAGAAAAATGACCATTTTAATATAGAACAATTTTCTAGTAAATTATACAGTAAAAATATTTGAAACATTAAAATCAAATGGATTTAGAATGATTATAGTTATGAATTACTATAATTTGGTCTTACACAGCTAATTCCAAAAGATTGCACAGCCATTTAGCAGTTTCCATTCTTTAAAATTCTCATAATGGGATTAAAGCAAAAAGGAAAAAGTAATCATCATCTTTTCTTCAAACTGTTCCCTTTCTCTTGCATATTCAATTTCAATAAATAAGCAATTCCTCTTCCCAGTCATCTTAATCAGCAACACCCAGAAATCACCCCGGCTTCTTTTCTTTTCTCATTACATCAACGTTCATCACTATGAGATCCCATATCTCATAAATACCAAAGTGAATCCATCTCGCACCACCCATGTCCTCGCCATCTGGTATCCACTTAAATAATCACATGTACTTATATCAGAGCCTCCCCCATGAGGCGTGAAGCCCAACAAGATGCTGTCATAAGAGTTTACTAAAAATGCAAGTTTAACGTCATATTTCCACTTGAAATTCTTCAGTAAATACAAGGAAAGCATGATTTAGTGTAAATACAAACTCTGGCTGAGTACATAAAGTCCTTCATGCATGAGTCGTTCCTGACCAATGTCTCTGGCTTCACCTCACAGCAGTGTACGGACTGCATCTTATTCTCCAAACACACTTGCAGCTCCAAATGCAGTAGGCTCCCGTAGCTAACTTCCTTTATGCTTGCCTTCCCTCTGTCCTGAAAACTCTCACTGCTCTCTTTCACTTGTTCTTTCTTATTCTTCATGATTTATGCTTAGCATCATCCCTTTTAAGAAACCTTCTGCTAAGGGAGAAATGATTCTGATATTTACTAGGTTGGTAAAGAAGATGTTACTTAAAATTATCACAATACATTGGAATAGGGAGTGCTATCAGGCTCAGCTCCAACTACAATAAAGACAAATGGAGATTTATAGCTAAAAAGCAGAATAAAAGAGTGAAACATTATTAACAGAGAAACACAGAAGAGAGTGTTATGAAACTGACCTAAGCGATTGACATCTACAGGTGGGGAATGAGTAGATCAAGGTGAGAGGTAGACATAACAGGCTCTTACTGAGTGAGCTGATCCAGTTAGACACCATAAGGACCAAATCAAACCATTCATGAGAAGAATGATCCAAGGAAGGAGGAGGACTTTGTTGCTTTATCAGGCCCTGGGCAGGGTTAGATTTCCTCTCCTCCTGACAATGCTCTGAACTCCTAGTAACTCTGTAATCCGCTTGTTACATTATGCCCTATTTTCAGTATTTGATTGCCCATCATCTTGTATGAGAATTCTTCAAAAGGAAAAATTTTGACTTGTATCTCCTGTAGTGTATGTAACTCTAAAATGTCCTTCCTTTATGAATGAACTTCCCAGAAATACAGACACAAATCAGGTCCACCTACTTCATTTATGCTATCCATCAAGCTCGGGAGGAAAATACAGGTCAGGAAGTTTCACGGTCTCATCTTCTCTTGATAACTGAAGAAGGATACAAAGAAAA